ACACCTGGCTGAACAGCTGTAGGTATGTAGTCCTCTGGGAAATCTGCCAAGTAGAGATTTTTAAGCAGCTGCAATGTCAAGATTAGGGAGAAGGAGTTACTGTGATTGCTCATAACTCTTGTAGTGCAAGGAGCACTGCCCAAGAAGTAGCCAGATGAGGTGTCTGCATGTGGAGGTCGGCCATACTAACAAGCTAGGGCTACTGCTAATGTACCAACTCCCTACCTGCCTAGTAACAACCCTTTATGAACTCCTGGGTCTTGTTTCAGGCCTGGTGTTGGCCTTCCCAAGTCTTTCAATCTTGGGTGACTTCACTCTCCATGCACTGGGGAAGAGGTCTGCTGAAGCTTATGAGTTCATTGCCTCCATGGTGATAATGGGCTTGCCATAAGTAATTGCAGCCCCTGCACATGAGGATGGTCACACACCTGTTCTGGCCCTTACTTTGAAGCAGATGAGATATGATCTGAACATGGAAAACATTAACATCTTCCTTTGACATGGTCAGGTCACTTTCTCATCAGACTACAGATCACAGAAGCCCTAGATATCAGCAAGAAGTGAATTTATTAGTTTAATACTGTTTCTTTTTAGTTGATCTATGGAACCCAGAAATAACCAGAAGACTGGATGAGACTGGTGCAGCCAGTCTCTTGCCCAGTTGCCAATCCCATGTGACCCTTTAGACTACCAAAGAGCTAAAGGAAATGAAGTAACTAAGAGACATTTAGAGCAAAGGTGGGGGGGGGGGAACTGGTGGACACAACGAAGGCTGGTACAAGCTGACATTTAGGCCAAGTGAAGTTCTCCCTTGACCTGTCTGTGCTTGACAACTTTTGGCCATTCTCCAACCTTTCCTTCATGGAGAATGTGGTAAATCAACTACAACTTTCAATAAGGATTCAGGCCTGGGATGAGGCTGAAACAGTATTGGTTTCTCTGGTGAACAATCATCATTAGGACCTGGGTTGGGGGACTGCACCCCTCCTGGTCCGATGAGACATGGTATCCTTCAGGCTTGACTACAAGGGAAGGAAGCATCATTTAATGGTGGTTCCCCTTCTATCTGAGTGGGAGGTTCCAAGCCAAGCCAGAGGTGCCAATGAAGACCTGAATCAGTGTCTGGAGGCTGAGAGGGCTTGGATGGGGTGAAACAAACTCTAATTAAATGTTATCAAATGAAGCTACTGTTTGTCAATGAACAGCAGGGCAATTCAGTGATTATTCTCAATTACACGCTCCCCATAAAGAAAGTTGTTTATGACTTGGAGATTGTCCTGGAGTCTTGGCTCCTACTAAAGTAGGTATACACTGTCGCTGGGAGGGCTTCTGGTGTACCAGTTATAACTACTTAAGACCAGCATGTCTTAGCAATGGTAACGTATACATTGCTCACCGCTTGGCCAGCTTAACTGTAATGTGTTCTATGTTGGGCTGCCTTTGGAGATAATGTGGAGGCTAGATTCCTGGCAGGTACCCCACCAACATAGTATAATACCAATTCTTAAGTCTGAAAAGGGTGACCTTTGGCAAGTACTTGCCCCAAATATAACTGAGATTTCAGCTACCTTATCAAGTAGGAGCCTTTGATACATAAATACACAAATTTTAATGAAAATAATGGATTCAGGACAAGAAATTAAGACTTCTAATACACTAATATCTTAACTCCCCAAAGATTTCTAAACATAAATGCCAAAAACCTGTGGACCAATTCTTATCCTCTGATCATTTTGTGAAATGTACATGCCTCTCATTCATCATTTACAGATAGTCATGGATATAATACTTCCACTTAAGGAAAAAAGTCCACTGCTGACAATCAAGTTGGTGAAAGGAGCATTAGGCAAACATATCTGTGTATAAATAAATGCAAATACACACAAGAAGAATGACTGTTATGACAGCAAACAGTTTAACACATCTTTATATGACTTTTTAGCTGAATATGCTCCAGTTGAATGTCTTTTAAAATTCTGTTTGCATAATTTCTTTTCAGGCAGTTTTTTCCCCCGCATGGAGATTAGAAAATAGATTGACTTACTTGAGACCTTAGCCTGGCAAAGTTGCCAATCTTCAAATACTGGCAACTATGCTATGTGCCACAGGAAAAGCATATTTATGTATCTGCATCTAAGGCATTTGGCTTGGCTGGAAAACAGGAATATGCCCTGCAATAAGTGGTACCAAGGGAGTTGGTGTTCTGTCTTAAGTCCTCTGAACACACAAATATAAACACATCAGTTACCCTACTTCAAGAGTGAGAAAATCGCAGTGATTAGAAATGCCTGACCTCATTTAGGAATTCCTCCTCCTCTTTTCCCTTAAAGTCTCTCATCCCCAAGTGTATGTCTTAAGAGATACTACTGATAAACAAAACTCACTTATGAGTATTTTCACAATACTTTAGAATTGTATTCCTTCAAGGTTTGCCTCAGTGTTTGACCTGAACCATACATTCCTCTGTTTAGCTAAAGGTGAGATTTAAACAACTAAAAAAAAAAAGATAAAAATAGTAGTAATTTGGTCAGAAGTCTTGGAATGCAATCCTATAAATGTATAATTGCGAAAGTATCCATTAAGCACACTTGAGCTGATTTCTGAATAAATGCATTATAGGATTATAAAGCTAATGGGCAGTAGAAAACCACAGAATTGTTTAGTTAATATGCCATCAAAAATGTAAAAAATTGGTATTATTTGAAGATGGAAAGAGTGCAAATATAAATAAAATTAAAACAGCAAATAAGGATGGATAATGAATGATGTCTTCAAGGAAAAGTTGTGAGTTGAAGATTTAGCTGTCTAGATACTAAAACTATTTATTTTTAAGTTCATCAAGAACTTGTTACACAGTTAAAAACCACCAAAACAACACAGCTGTGTTTATGAAAGAAAGCCAAATCAATGATTCTCCCAAAAACATCATCAGTTCAATAAACAGAAAGCATATTCAGACCATTATTAAATATGGCTACTACAGCATGACCTGATGAAGTTTTATAAATGTTTCACAAATTGGTAAAGGTCCCCTTACAGTTCCTCATTGCCAGCAAAAGCATTTTAATCATTAATTTCAGCTTCAAAAGAGTATAATTACTCATCAGTGCTACTAATAACCTGATGCAGGAACATAAAAGTATAGGTGCAGTGCAATCAAACTTTATACATATACCAAATCCACAAGCACTTGGTACTTTTCTCTGAAGTTTTCACTGCTGACTGTCAAAACACATATCTAGTTTAAAAGATGGCTTGTCTCTTCAACTTTCTATGCTTATACATGGGAACTATTACAAAATCTCAGTTGGGATGCACAATTATCCCTTCTTTTGTATTTGTTTTTTGTTTGGATTGGAGTCTCTATGTCTTGCTGATGCTGCAGTGAGCATAAAATTTAGAAAATTTAGTGTGTTTCAGATAGCCTAGATGGAAATGAAGAAAATAATCAACACAACAACATAGAATGCAAATATGAAGGGTATTACTGATGAAGGAAAACCAGTGGTAAGCCTATTTATCTTTCTATTTAAAAGATAACTATATGTACAGCTGTAAGTAGCACTAGATGGTTTCTCTTTCTCTAATAATTACTCATATCAAGTTTCATTAACTAAAAGACTGGGATATATTTTCTGAGTAATACATTCAGCCTGTCTTGAAGAGACTTGTTTAAAAATTGTTTGTATTTATGTAACTCACAAGTAAATTACTCAATTTATTAACATAATATATCAGTTCAGAAGCTGCTGGTAGAAGTACCTAAACAAACAAGGACCAGTTTATTTAGCATCTCTTCACATTGTGATACTAGTTTGTTGCTTTTCTAAACCAAGAGCAAACCTGAGGTTGTGGCTTCTGATTCTACTGCATTATGAGAAAAATAATCTAAGAAACCTGGTACCAACAATCCAGAGAAGATTCCATGTTGTATTTAGCAGTTTCAACTAACAATTCTGGTTTATGATGTGCAAATCAGCCCAGAGTATTCAATACTTGTATTGTAATTCACATATGAAAGTAAATGCATAACTTTTAACTATTGTTCAAATCACAGAACACAGTTTAATGATAATTCATATTGCTATGACAACCATATTGTTAGCCTTTCCAAGATTCATGGGCAACTCCTGAGAGGAGCTATTAAAAGTTTTGCCAAGTATTTATATTCAGTTTTGTTCATACAAAGTTTTTTTTTTAATGGCAAAACTAGAAACTTGGATCCTCATCACAGAATTTAGATATAGATATATATTAGCATTCCCTCTTCACTTTATATAGTCCAAAGGAGTCACCTTTAAATAGGAGGGTCCTTTAATCAAGAAAGGAAGACTTTCTCTATACCAGTGTTATCTTTCCTGCGCTTACTGTATTCATCTAAGAAATGCAAAACTGGACCAACCATTAACTCTGAGTTTTGGAAAAAAGCAGAAAACGAATAGCAGCAGCAAAGAGTTTAAACTATTCCCTCTCGGGAAAGTTCTGTCCATTTCTATGAATGATAGTGAAGAAGGCTACAGGAAGATGTCACACCTTGGGTAGTAACACAAAGTTGACATATTGCAATACCTGAGAATAACCACATGCCAAGAATACGGAAATGAGGGGAAAAACAGGCATAAATCGATTCGTTAAGTGCCGCACAAACAGAAAGACAGGGGAGATCAGAAGACAATAGTGGCTTTTTTTATCCTACGCCCTTCCTCCCCACGTTGAGGGAGGCTGGCTGGGCCTTCAAGCCCCATTCCCCACCGCTCTTCTGCATGCAGCTCCCACAGGCGCAGGTCTGGGAAAGAGCCCCCATGACAGGCCCTCGGAGAGGCCAAGGGAGACCCGACCCTGCCTCGCCCCCTGCGCCACCAGGCCTGGCCGAACTATGGCCGTCATTACCCCGAACCACGCATTCTCCACGTCCGGGAAAAGGCCAAGCCCAGCAGTCGCCCCACGCCCAACTCCGACAGGCCTGCAGCTCCCTTCCCCTCCTTATCCCACGTACTTACCCCCAGAACCCGCAGGGGCAGCGGGGCGGCAAGCTGGGGGCTTTGCTGCGCT